CTTGTGGTAATGAGTGTTTAAAATCACTGAGCTCTTTAGCATGAACAATTCTTTTGCCAGTGTTCGTCTATAGAGACTGCATGGCTATGTGTTTGATCTTATACATCTGTTAGCAATGAATGTGGCAGAAACACTTGATTCACAAGGTGCGTCCACATACTTTTGGCCATTTAGTACATATAAAAATGTAAAAAGCATAATATAAAAAAGCCCTCTCTAGTAATATGTAAATCGGCAGTCAGGGAGATTGGACGCAGAGGTAATTTGCAATCGCTGACACAATCGCAGGCTCTCATGGCTGAGGAAACAGATGTTACTCTGCCTGTGTGATCAGTCATATTTCTACATCAGGTTTGTCTGAATGCCCGCCTCTCAGCTTGTGCAGAAAATTCCCTGTCGGCAGACATTTGGAACATGCCCAGCCTGCAAAATCTTGCGAATCGATCACAGAACCACTTAAAAGCTCTTTTTAATGTACAAAGGTTTGAACTAATGAATATAATGCTTGCGATGAATCCTGTATTATAGATACATTCAATGTGTTATGTGTTGCGCATAGTAACATAATGCTTAGCATGCATCTTCCAAACTGGACTATTGTTACCTCAGACGACATGACAGGAAATGAGAGGCCGACGCAGCTTCGCTTTCATTTTTCATTTACTGTGCTTACTTGCAACATACCGGTATAAAGGTTGTTCCAAAACCCTGGTATACCATATGAACCACATTGCCCAACTTAAGCCTTAAATTTCATGTGACTGGCCTACTACACATGCAGAGAACTGACGTGTTAACAGCATGAGTGGCTGATGACCTCTTCAACGGTCAAGCTCGGCTACTAGAACCATGTTTGTTTGTGAATGAGCATGTGTTGAGCTGCTAGCGAGCAATGAGGGGTAGTAAGGGAGGTGTGAGAACCTTCTGCTGTGACTAGCTCGCAAACCAAAGACAAAAAAATGGCTTGCTTCCAGTTTTGTAAATCATACACATTTCCAACTACATTCCATCTACGCTACTGAAGAAATAAAAATACTAAACAGTTCATCTGAACGAGTTACAAAACAGGTGGAAATTGCATTTAATGGCCACAATTTTCCACTTACCTTTACCCATAGTCAATTCACCAAGACATACCTGGAGTCCAAATTTTGCTCCTTTAGTTTAGAATGGGTGCGGTGAGACTAACGTTGCTAACAAACACTACAACTCAATAGTCACCCAAAACAGCCCAAATCGTTTCTGTATAACTATACCACCAAAACTTCATTCAACCTGCTCAAACCTCATCCTTCACTAAGGTTGCACAGACTTGCCGATGTGGTTCAGGACAAAGCATGATTTATTACTGTATGCCAGTTTAGATGATAGGGTCTGTGCAGGGTCACAAACTACCAAGAGGGTGGTCATGCTACATTCTAAACCACACTGATGACTTTGCATGACCTCAATGAAGACCTGGATGCAGTTTGAGCGAGTTAAGAGAAGTTTTTAGAATGTATTTTTACAGGAACCATTTGGGATATTTGGGTTACTATTGACTTCTAGTGTTTGTTAGCAACCTTAGCCTTGTAGCTCCAGTTCCAAACTAAAAAAGCAACATTTGGACACCAAAGTCGTCTTACATTTACATTTATGGCATTTGACAGACGCTGTTATCCAGAGTGACTTGCAATTTGATCATTTTACACAGGTAGGCGAAGGCAGTGTTAGGAGTCTTGCCCAAGGACTCTTACTGGTATAGTGTAGAATGCGTGCCTAGGCAGGGGACTGATCCCCAGTCTACGGTGTAGAAGGCAGAGGTGTTACCCACTACACTATATCAACCACAGCTTCTTAGCTGAGGTTGGTGGAAAATCATACAATGTGATTTGATGCCCAACTATTCCTTTATAGGTCTGCTGGTGTTTTCTACGTTTTTGTGTCTCTAATTTTCAGGTTGTATCCTCGGATATGTAGGAAGCTGTTTATGTGGAAGTCACTTCGAGTGCATGTAGAGCTACAGCACTCCATAAAATCAGTGATGTTCCAAGTGGAGGGAATGGTATGTGTGAGTGGAGGGACACTGCAGGAGAAAATCAGTGCAGGAGTGGGGCTATCATTACGTGTGCTGTAAGAGGTCATTGCTGCAGAGAGCTTTTCATCCTGATTACAGACGTCTCACCGTAGCCCTGTGTTCTGCACAGCAGGAGATGAGAGGCATGATAGGACACACATACGCACCTTTACCATGAGCCACGAGTGACTCAGAAGATCCTCCACCTCTGCAAAGGAAAAAAATACAGCAACGAAGCTGAACCGAAGCTGTCCCTGACATAAACGAATCAAACGGCAAGACGTTTTAAATGCAGCCGTCGCGAATCATAAATTCCAACGACGCTCACAAAGTCACAGGACCAAATCAGTCTTGGATTACAAGCCATATGTGAACAAATGCCTGATAAATAAAGGAGAGCCCTTTGCAAACACGCCGCTGAAAATCATTCCACCCACTAACTTCACAGCTAACGGAAATTAAATGTCGGAGGGTGGGGTTGCTACCATGGAGTTGATGGCAATGGCGCCTGTTCATTTCAATGGGATTTGCTCTGTGGTGCAGGTATACCCAGAAGTATGTGTTGTGGATCTCGTCTCTTCAACGTATTGGGACATATTGCATCAGTCTTTGAGACGATCGGTGGAACGGCCAAAAATTTATATTACCATATTTTTAAATTTCGGTATATATCACAGTGTATTTATAAGTGTATACATGTATATTTTTTTCTTAAACCATTTTAGATGCTTCAGAAAAAACTATTTATTCAGGTGACATATTACTCTGGAATGTCCCTTCACTTTTTAGTAGAATCATGATTAACAACTGAAATATTTGGTAACATTTAATAATAAAAAGCCTTAATAAACAGCAACCCCATGATAATTATAACTCCAACATGTAACCCCCCTCCTCCACACCCAATAATTAATTTAGATAATTATTTGGCTCTGAAACATGACAAAAATAGTGAATTTACTGGTATAATAAATGCCACTTATTTATCTTGCTACTTTGTGATGCATAAACCTTTCCTTAATTCTAACGAATGCAATTCCTAAAAAGACCAGACCTGCGAAAACAAAGTAGTGATTAGTAAATTTTGTTTGGGCGTGAAGTAAATATAAAGAAAAATTCTGCGTAGGCCCCATTAACCCTCTCAGGTCAACGATGTCATACATGACATCAAAGGACGTCGTAGGTAAAAGAATAAATAATTCATGAATGCTACAGTAGAGAGTACAGGTCAGGAACACACGCCCTGATTGGTCAACAGACTTGACCCAGTGCGCCAGTGGATGGCTAACAGCCCTGCTAACAACAATAACAACTTTTCAACACTGAGAAATGGATAAATATTCACAGAAGTCATTATGGATTTATTTGACAAAGTCTCCCAAAAGACTGGATCGCAAAGCTGCTGAAAGGGATACGACCACAACGAAGCCCTCATAGAAACAGCAAAATGTTAGCCTTCTGGGAAAAAATGAAAGCAAGTTTGCAGCATGCAGCATTCCCAAGATGTTATTCTTTTATACAGCGTCAACCTACGAGGGTTAATGCTGAAAGATATATACACATTTTGAAGCAACACATGCTGCCTTTTAGACGCCGTCTTTTTCAGGTATGTCCCTTCTTGTTTCGGCAAGACAATGACAAGAAACTTTCTGCATGTGTTACAACAGCATGGCTGCGTAATCAGAGAGTGTGGGTGCTAAAATAGCCTGCCTGTCTCCTATTGAAAATATGGCACATTATGAAAATATGAAAACGAGCTCTGTATGGTTGCACAACTGAAGACAAATGAGTCAGTTTGTGTCTTTAGTCCCCAAATGATTGTGTTTTGTTAAAAGTAGAGGTGATAAACACAGTGGTAAACATGCTCCTGTCCCTACTTTTTTGGAAAGTGTTGCATGCATTCGATTCAATATGAGTGTACATTTATAAAAAGCTAATAAGGTAGAATATAAAATACTGTATTTCTGTATAGTGGTCCTTAAAATTTTGTTAATTTTTTATATTTCTGTATAAACTTGACACAAAAAGTCCTAAAAATAAATAAAGAGAACCAAATTAAACAAATGAAACAAAAAATATTAGACTTGGTCATTTATTTATTGAGGAAAATAATCCTATACTGTATATCTATGAGTGGCAAAACTAAAAACCTTTAGGATTAGCAGATAGTTTGAAGGTGAAATTAGAGCCAGGTGTTTTCAGTCAATGGGATGGCAATCAGGTATGACTGACCATCCTGTTTTATTCAAACAACAGGAATCTATCACAGTCTGATCTTCACAAAACATGTTTGTGGAAGTGTATCATGGTATGAACAAGGAAATGTCTAAGGACCTCAGAAGAAGAGTTGTTGATGCTCATCAGGCTGGAAAAGGTTACAAAACCATCTCTAAAGAGTTTGTACTCCAGTAATCCACAGTCAGAGTGTGTACAAATGGAGGGAATTCAGGACCACCATTACGCTCCCCAGGAGTGGTCAACCAACAAAGATCACACCAAGATCAAGGCATGTAATAATCCGTGAGATCACCAAGGAACCCAGGGTATCTTCTAAGCAACTAAAGGCCTGTCTTACAATGGCTAATGTTAATGTCCATGAATGGAATGAGCAAAAAAGCAAAGTTCATAAGGTAAAACATAGTATTGTATTTTTTATATTTTAGCCTTCTTAGCTTCTTTTTTATTAGCTTTTCATCTACTGTCCCAACTTTTTCGGAATTAGGTTTGTACACCAACAAAATTAGCCACGGCTGTCCAAAACGGAACTGAATCAAATGGCAACACCATGCAAGACATGCTTTTTGGTAGCAGGTGGGATTTATGCTGTTTGGCCACTAGATCTAGTCATGCACACTCGACCAGCCAAACCCTGCTCCCCTGGTTTCTACCCTCCCGTCACAGCTAGTTTGAAGTGTGTGCGGTGGGCATACAAGGCCCCTCTCACCTGCTCCAGCTTCCAGTGGAACTCAGCCGGCCTGAATGTGTCCATCTGCGTGAAGTCCCTCCGCAGCAGGAAGACCAGCCGGCAGTTGTGAACGTACAGTGAGTAATGATGCCTGTTCATCTCTGCCAACAAGCAAAAAAGGAACACATCAGCAAACCTACACCATATACATCCATCATACTCTGACATGACCATCTAATAAAGTATAGAAACATTCTGTATAGAGGACGGTGCAAAAGTCAGAAAACAGCTTCATTTTTTCATTTCCAGTCAAAATTACAAATAAGTTCATTTTAATTAATTTTTCAAGAGTTTTCTAAGGAGATTAGATGTGAGATCATCCACTTGGCAGAAGAATGTCAAAGGAATAATTACAGTTTTCAAAACTTTAAAAAACGACTAAAGATACAGACTGTCCCCATCAGATAAACAGACTTCTGTGAGAGCGATGAGAACAGTCTTATTGCTCAGGAGTTAATATGGGGGCATAAATCTTCATCTTTTCACAATATCTATCGCTGCTGTCGGAACAAAACCTTGTATCTCCATTTTAGGTCGTTTTTCAGTTTTTGACATAGTTTGAAAGCACCCATTATCCTTTACATTGTGTGTAGATTTCATGATGAATGGACCAACAGAAATGACCCAAAATGACTTGGAAAAAAGTCTGGTTCCACTGACTTACATTAAAAGTGAAGTATGTTTTTTCCTTCTCCTGTAAAGTTACCATTTTGGAGATACAAGGTTTTGCTCCTGATAACAGTGATATGTACTCTGTTGCTTTCACGTATGTATGAAGGGACACCCTAGTGCACATGCACAGCACACACATGTGCTTATACATTCATGTTTTTAATATGAGCGTTATGCTCATATTTAGGTTATTAAATGTTTATGTCACTGTTATGCTTTGTATATTATTCTGTATTTTCTATAATATTGTAAAATTTTAAATTTTAAATTTATTTAGGTGAAGGCTTTATTTAAGCCTATTAGGTTTTTTGCCTCTACCTGCACTGTATATTGTTATTTTTGTTTATTTGTGAGTAAACTAAACTAAACTAAACTAAACTAAACTTAACTAAACATCAAGCTCCAGTCTTGCTTCATATCTTGTGCTTCTGTCCACTGTGAGAAGACAACTTAATGCTATGGGTCTGAAAGGATGTGTAGCTGTCAAGAGGCCAATACTGAGAAAAGAAAAAAAAGATTATAAAAAAAAACGAATACATTTGGGATCACTTGGATTGTGAGAAGCAGGAAGTTCAACCAACTTCTAAGACTGAACTTTGATTCTGCCAGCAGAAAAGAAAGATTCAGTAGAAATTAGAGTCTTTGGTGTATGCCCCATCCTTGCTCCAGGTCTTGGAGTGTCAAGACCCCCGCTGATCCTGAAGCCTACCCCCCAGACAGAATAGGTATGCAAGTCAAGTCATTTTAAAGACAGGTGTAGGCCCACGATTGGTCAGGACTAATGAATAAATGACGTAGCATTAGAGTCTTCCTGGCAGGACTTTCACTAAAGCTTCCATCCATCCATCCATCCATCATCTAAACCGCTTATCCTTCTGGGTCGCGGTGGGGTACTGGAGCCTATCCCAGCTGTCATTGGGCGGAAGGCAGGATACACCCTGGACAGGTCGCCAGTCCATCGCAGGGCTAAAGCTTCCATATACATGGAAAAATATCCCTGCAGATTTCTTTAAAGAAGTGAAAGTAAGACTCCTGAAAAGACAGAAGCTGCAATAAAAGCGAAGAATGGACACATTAAATATATATAAATATATATATATATATATATAAGATATATTAAGTTGTGCAATTCTGACGCTGAAAAATGAATAACACTTTTCAGCTGTTCGGACAAGAAGTAAAATAAATGAAAAGGTGGTCTCTGACTTTTGCACAGAACTGTGGTTACATTTAAATAGCATAACAATGGCAGTAACAACAAGACATCAGCTGGTCCTTCAGCACAATCAACTGGTCCTGCGCTGTTGGCTGGGTTGTTTGTGTGCTGAGTGGAGTAGATAAAGACAATGGAGTGATGTAAGAGGCTGCCACTGTTCTGGCTGAAGTCCAAGCCGTCTGCCACAGCAAATTCCCTAAGGGTTTGGTTATAGGACTTTTACAAAAGACTGAAATAAATGTAACTGTTAAAGGCAAAAATGTGCAGAAGGACTGTCAGCCATAAAAACGCACGAGGAAATAAATACATCTAAACAGCTGTCACTTTCTCCCTAAATAGCTCTAATAGGTTTCGAACGGTAAAGCCGTCACTCTGGCTGTACGGGTTTGTTAATGCCGTTCTGCGCTTTAAGTGATATTGACGTGTGCCACTTCGCATTACGCCTCCAAGCGTGGTCAGAGCACTATGCTACCTGCAATGGCCGCCTTCAGACTTACAGCTCCTCTATCCAGAAAGCTCCTGATTGATCAAAGTGGCCTGTCTTGCTGCTTTTGCATGCAACACACACACAAGGTTTTATACCTTGTAAGGATGAGGGATCAAGCATACGTTTCTATTATATGCATACACACACACATATGTATATATAAATATTAATCTACCTATCTACCTACCTACATACCTACCTACATACCTACCTACATACCTACCTACCTACCTACCTCTCTACCTACGTACACAGGCGCCAACTTGGGTTAAACATCAGGTTAAAAAAAAGGGGAAAATAGAAGTTTCAATTATGTCCTAATGTGATTACACATCATTATGATACATGATCATACATTTCAGCAAAATGAAATGAAATAAGCCATTACAATAAATGAAACAGAGGACTATCAGGCTTGAAACCATCTCCCAATCACAACTCAGAATGATGCTGAAGACAAACAAGCATACCTGCTCTTTTACGAACAATATTTTATTGAGCAGAGTGACTGATTTGACCGTTTATCCATTCAGTAAAAGTGTATCTGTAGATCTTTCTTGCTGCCCCGTTCAACAACACAAACGCTGTATGTGTGATTGACCCGCCCTGTAGCGATCACGTGGCTGCGTCTCTCACACTCCTCAAAATGAAACAGAACAGGCAGCAGAAAGTTTACTTAAATCCGCCAACAGCTGAAACAGACCCAACATGTGTCCAAGTGTAAACGAATAAAAGAGGGTGTAAAAAAAAATAAAAAATAAACAGATTTATTACAGTAAACTCTAACAAATCTTATATCAGTTAGTTTTGGGGGGATGAACAACCCAATGCCCCTATAGCGGCTATGTGTACATGTTTTTCTTCAGACAGCAACGATATGTATTAAATACTACTGTCGGCAAACGGTAGGGCAACCATGGTCAAATGACATGTTTTGTTTTCTAAGCAAAAATAAGTCCTAAGTATTATAAAACACAAAATGTGACCTGTGCAAAATCCATGGCACATTTTAAATATTTATTTTTTTTCCGATATGTTAAACACAGCAAAAAATAGAAATTGTGCACTAAAATTCACAGAAAGGTTCCACATTGAAGTCTTAGAAACTTTTCACTTAGAAAATCAACAAAACATGTTATTTTTCTAGGGGTTTTCAAACTTGTGCATTCGTCTGTATACGCAAGTACCTAAAGTACTATGTAAAAGTCAGAGACTTTCCTTCGCTTATTTAAGTTACTTCAATGTCAAAATGGGCACTGGGTACTTAATTTGTTCATTTTTTAGAGACATTTCTGTGGAGATTAGATGCAAGATAATCCACTTGCATGAGGATAGGAGAGTCAAAGGAAAATAAGTGAAAAAAAAACAAAACAAAAAAAAACAGCAATTTCCAAAACTGAAGTTAAAAAAAAATCTTCAAATTAATAAAAAAAAGATGAAACTCCTGAAAGAAGAAAATTTGCAAATCAAACAAAGAAGCTGCTGGTATTCTCAGAACAATGGACTGACTCAGAACAATGAGTCCAGACCTTAACATCACTGAATGTGTTTGGGATTATTTAGGCTGTGCAAAGCAGAAAGTGCAACCAACTTCTAAGACTGAACTTTGGCAGTGGAAAAATATCCTTGCAGATTTCTCTGAAAAAGTGAAAGCAAGCGTCCTGAAAAGAGAGTTCAACTAAAGGCAAAGATACTGAAAGAAAATGTGATATGTTTAGTTGCTGAGGCTTCTGCATACATTTCTGTTAACCTCTGAAATGGCCAGCGAGTCCAAAGTTTTATTACACAGTTCTAAAACTTAGGAATAGTTCAACAAGTTTGCACTGAAGTCCCTGTAGTTACTGAATAATAAGTCTTAGTAAGCAATAAGCCTGGGATTTTAAGGGGTTAAATGTTTTAAGATTGAAAAATTAACTTCATTTAGGCAATTCAAGGGTCTCTGACTTTTGCACAGTATTGATAATATGGTTCATATATATGCAAGTACCTATATGTAGTAATAACATGTCCCATATGTATGATAAATTTGCAAGTATGCATATGCACATGTCTATGCTTAACCCTAAACCTAATACTAACCTTGACCTCAGTAGCCAAAAACTGGTCTTTCCCTTTTAGTTAAAGAAAGAGTAAAAACTTTCACTGTTTTTCCTACAAAGTCAGAACATTTCTGTACTGAAAATGTAAAAAAAAACAGATCCCCCCCCCCTCACACTGAGCCTCCTGAGAGGCTGCACGTGTGCCTCTGGCCGACGTCTCACGCGTGGCTGCTCTTCAGTAGTGTGTGAATTGATTAAGTCTCACATTCGCTCGGCGTGACGCCCATGATCAATGAGGCTCGATAGAGGCCTGCCAAGCAGCTGGCCTCCGTCACAGCCAGTCCATCCTCCTCTCGGCACCATCCACACAGCAGCCCACACAGAGCCAAAACGTGCAGGAGATAAAGTGTGTTTACTGCAACTTAGAACGACCCTGGCTAGTTCTTATAGCAACCCAGAACTGACCACCTCACCATCTACAGTATATTATCTACATAACACTATTAAAAGACTCAGAGAATCTGGAGAAATTTCCGTGCATAAAGGGCAAAACCGAAAACCGATATTGAACACCCGTAACCCTCAGACGGCACTGCTTTAGAAACCAACATGTTCCTGTTATGAATTTAACCACATGGGCTTAGGAACACTTCAGAAAACCCTTGTGAGTAAACAGTGCATTGCTGC